AAAATCAATTACTTCCTCTGAATTACCATTCACAGGAGTTTTGCCATGGTGGGAAAACCATGCATATTAAGATTTGGGTGCTATGCAAGGGGAGGAAGTAACGGGAACTGTTATATTGAATAAGACCAATGCTACATCTAGTCCCAAACCGTGCTCTTTGTTGGCCTGCTGCTTCAGTGGAAGACAAAATTTAAATACTTAAGTGTTAAAGATGGGCCCAAATCAGAAGTGGAAGTGCACTCAGGGCATATACCTTCCCTTCCCATTTCCAAGTCTGATTCTACCTTATTTCCTAAGCCTTAGAGGCAGTGACAGGGAGCTGCTTAGTCCTCATCAAACTTTGTATAGTGAGGCTGCCATTTCTTTACAGATATTTCCTCCTCCCTGATGCAATAACTCCTCTGAAGCTGAGAGTATATTATTGACTCTCCAGAAGCCACATACTTGTCCCCCTGTGTGTGGGGAACAGCTTCTGCATTATACAATATGCATCCATTAGTTCCATTTAAATCCATTTAATTTTTAGATTTACTTTATAATAAAAACAGTAACAACAATTAAAACCACCTCGTAGATAAAAATTAAATGAGCCATTTTTCCAATTGCAATTAGAAACAGTAGGAAGGTGTCTGATACCTGCTTAGGAGGAAGTGATGGGCAGGACCAGCTACGCATGCCGCAATAACAGCTAAAATACACAAAGCCTTCATTTTTTAAAAGATTAAACTAGAACAAAAATTTACCACATTTATACTCTAGCTCCTGCTATCACCGCTAAGTAACTGCTGGATATTTCTGATTTCAGCTATTTAAATGGTGATTAATAACGTTTACCGTCCTTGGCAATGTTTTAATAATTGACTACGATTACAGATTAGCATTCCATACTGGTATGTTACAAGCAGCAATTCATTTTGATACTTTGAACAATTTCCTTAATCATAGTGGTAATAGCATAAAATATGCAGTCCAACATTATTAATTTAACTCCACTCATAAGTTATAGTGGCACAGCAGCACCACTACAGTTAAGGTTGCATCACGACTTCTGTTTAAAGGTCAACCTTTCTAAGTCCTCTAAAATCAACATTCGTTGTCAGATTTCTTTGACATTTGGTGTCCTTTAGGAGAGTGCAGGGTAGGGTTAGTGAGCCAAATTTGAGGTAATTTGGGCTATGGATTGCAAAGATAAAAGCACTCCTCAAAAATAGCTATTTTTCAAAAAGTTTCTAATATTTTTTTCTGCACAGAGCTAGAGATCTAACTATTGATGTAATTGAGACCATTCTGACCCACATGTATTGAGTTTTACCCAAGGTAGTGCACAGCACCTACTAAATCTTTGGAGGATCCACATTCAAAGCAGTACTTCTGTTCCAATACAGTAAACAGTTTAAAGGGTTTCCATTCCTGCTATTTTATATGCTTTAAAACTTGATTTTTGTAAGTGCTCTAAAATCCAAATGGTACTTGGATTGCTTTGAAATTTGGTGTGCTGCGTGGGGTGATATTAGTGATCTAAATCTGGGGGTCCTTTGACCAAAGAGTTCTCAAGTTACAGGCCCCTGAAAAACCCAGTTTCCTTTGACTGCTTGTACTGTTAAAGTGAGAGGTATTAATGGTTGGATGAGTCACAGACTTCATTGAGATTTGATGGCTGTGAACTCACCATTCAATTAACACAACTAAGGATAAATTAATAACAACCCCCCACGTAAGACGACGAGGTTTGGACTGAGTGGCTGGAGGTTACCACAATTTGTAACTGACAGGTGGCGATTTTATTTTGTGGGTAATTAATTCAAAGTATTTGGGGGGAAAATTAGACATGTATATACTTCCTTGGATGGGAGAAGTATTAGGGGGGCAGAGCAGTGGGGGAGTAGGGGGACAGGAGTTTGGGGTTGCAGCAAGGGGATGGGTGTAGGGGAGAGGATAGAGGTTGGGGGCTCAGATGAGGGAACACAGGGGTTAGGGGAATAGAGGGTGGAACATTGGGAAAAGAGACATAGGGGCAGAGGCACTGGTTAGTTCCAAATTCTCCCTTCCCAGGTGTACGCCCAGACCTGGGGAGCTCTTGCTCCTCTAGGGAGTTCTGAACCCCTCTCCTTGCTCCCCCTCATATGAGCTGGGATCAGGCCCTCTCAGAGTCCAGAGAGGCCTGGGCCACTTCCAGCTTTTGAGGCCCCCCAGCCATAATAAAAATAAAAAATGACTCATGAAAACAAAATAAGGCACCAAAAAAAGAGACATAATTTGAATATTTTTTATTTAACAAATGCTTTTCTAGCCGTTTTCTGTGCAAATGTACTAATTATTGAGGAAATGTGCTTTAAATTGAGCTTTAGTGCAATGTCACAGTTGATATTAAGCATGGCAAGCCCATTCAAATGCTCTTGTCCCATAGTTGAATGGCGATGGCTCTTTACCTGCTTCAACATGTTGAAGGTGCATTCACCTGAAGCCACTGAGGCAGGCAAACTGACAAAAATATGCAATGCAATTGTGATATTAAGAAACACGCCAGAGAGTCCAAGTTCGAGTATTTCTTGAAGCAATTCCTTTGGTTTCTGATCCAATTTAAAGTTCGTGGAATATATTCATTTGAGAAAGATGACCTCATCACTGAGATCTTTTGAGATTTCTTTGTTGTACTGTTGCTGAAATTGTTCAGATGCAGAAAGTAGAGCTTCATTACTCAGTCGGTTGAACTGTCAAAGAAACCCCAAAAGGGTACAAATTAGTCGCAGTGACTCAAATCAACATGTAAGACCTGACTGAATAGAGTCAATGAGGACAGGGAAGACACTGACCCTATAACGCTGCTCGGCATTGGATTCAGTAGGTAAGTTGCGATTGGTAGAGAACTCAGATGAAATGCCCATATTCTGTGCTACTAATTTGGACTCAGTCAGGATCGCATCCCATTGTTCACGAATCTGTTGAATGTCATTGATAAGACTTTCAATGTTATCCCTCCCAACATCAAGTGTAGCATTGCATGCTTCAATTACCAGATTAATTTGGTGGATCATTGTAAGTAGCTTAATCAACAAAGATGACATCAGTCTATTCAGAAGCACATGTCCAAATTTGAATGCATTCTGAAGTTCAGTTCAAGCCGGTGCAGTGAGATTGAGAGATTCAAGCTCATTTAAAACCTCTCTCACTGAATTCCAATGCTGCGCAACTGGTTGAACACCATCAATCCATGCAGACCACCTAGTTTTGGACATCCCATGCAGTAAAACAGCAAGATATTGCTTCAGAATTTCCCACCTTTGTGGACTGCTACTGAAGAGATTGTACATTTGCTGAACAGTTCCAAAGTAAGTAATTGCCTCTTTGCATGATTCAGCATAGTAAACACCTACAAGGTTTAGTGTGTAGTTTCCACAGCGGGAGAAAATACAGTTTCAATTATGCTCAAGCAGAACTGCTTGTACACCTTTGTACTTCCCAGCCATATTAGATCCATTGTCATAGACTTGACTAATGCACACTTGAAAATCTAACTTAAAACCTGCTAGTATTCAAGCAGCAATTTCTTTTCCAGTTTTTCTCATGAAATTATCAAACAAAATAAACCTTTCTTCAACTGAAAATTTTGAGCTGTCTACAACCTTAACATATCGAATAACCATAGTAGTCTGTTCCTTGTGAGAACAATCTAGAGTAGCATCAACCATGATTAAAAATACTTGCCATTTCGAATTTCATCAAGAATTGTTGTTTGTACGAATGACCCACATAGCTCAATAAACTCATTTTGTATGCGTGTGGAGAGATAATGGACTTGCATGCGCTTTTGACTCTCTTGCAATTCTCGAACATGTTTAACATGCTCTGATAAAGTGGGTCATATTTGCTGAGGAGCTCAACTATGCCTAGAAATTTTCCATTTGCATGATCACCAATACATTGACTGGAACCAAAGAAAGCCAATCCCCACTCAGAAAGAAAAAGGATGACATTCAGGATGTGCTCAAGAAGTTTTTTCCGGTTATTAGTTTCTGTAGAGAGTTCAGTCAAAAGTAAATTCTCAACTGAACTTTCAGCTGATGCTGCCCTACTGGCTGATTTCCATGCAACATAGTTTTTTTTGTGTGACATTGAATTCTCATGTGATGAGATTTGGTCTTTCAACTTCCTCCAACGTCTGTTGATGCCCCATCCTATCCACACTTGAAATATCCTGCTGTAAATAAGTAGCTTATCTACACTTGAAATCTTCTACTGTAAACATGTACACAAATGCTGAAAAGATTTACAACGAAGGAATACTAATTAAGAACACAAAATGTAACAAACAGGTTATTATCTTTATCACTGAATCAAAACTCAAGCACACAAGGTATAATATAACTGGCTGAGCTGAAGACAAAGGGATGACTTACATATAGTAAACACAGACACGGATACAGACAGAGGGATAACGTCCAAACATTTCAAACATTTCCCCTCACGAAACTCACTCTACAAGATCGTCCTCACAAATGTTCACCTTGAATCTGGGCCTATAGACTACGAAAGCCTATGATGATGGCCAAGCTACCAAGCGAGGGCTCAACCAACCAACCAGTCACCTCTTTTAGCTACCATATAAAGATAATAATGAGGAATTCTCACACACAAATAATTCCTTAGTCAACTAGACGTAAAACAATAAAGACACTAAAATAGAACAATTCTCTACCTTTCAACATGCACTTGATCCAGCACCAGCCACTAGTAGTGGTTTGTTTATATAATCAGCTGATCTGAGAGGACACGTTCATCACGGTCTAATCTTGTGCCATCAGAACCGATATATTTTTATTAATATTTATGAACATTTTTAACTCTTTAATATGATAAAATCTATATCAGTTAACAAAAAAAATATGTCTTTTACCAAATCACATCTCTTATTTGCTTAAATTTGCAGCTCTAAGCTGAGAGTGTGTGTGTCACATTTTGGTCTGATAGGGATGCGCTAAAAACAAGTTGCAAAACTTATCAAATGCCAAAAAATTAACAAGTGTCTAAATTTGAGGCACCCTTTGAGCTTGAGGCCCAGGCCAAATGGCCCTTCTGGGTCCCCCCTCTGATTGGCCTTGGCTGGGATATGGGGGGGACCTTGCCCTGAGGGGCTGTCTGAACCACTCTCAATGCTCTAATATGTGTGCCACTATCTGGGGGGCCTGTGCCTATCTACACAGGTTGGACCCTGCTCATATGAGTCAGACTCGGGGGGAGCTTGCCCTTTTGTGAGTGTCTGAGTTGCCCTCCCAGTCCCCAGTGTAAGCCAGAGATCTTGGGAAGTCCTGTCCCTTTGCGTGAGGAGCTGAGAACAGGCATGCTTCATGCATATTACAGGCTCTAAAGCACTCAAGAGGAGGGTGGGAACACCTGTGATAAATGGACTGGTTCACAAATCTCTGAGCTATTGATTGAAGTTGTATTAATCTCCACTGGGTGTCCTCAGTCAATTGAGAACATCACATTGAGATGAATAGGCCCCTTTCAGAGCCTCTTCTGTCACAAATGAATGTGGAGGTGGGGCTCATCCTGTAATCAGGGTTAGTTTAGCCCCAATCTCTCTAGCAGCACAGGGGACAAGTCACTCTGTTACACAGGAACAGAGAAAGGTGGCATTGACAACCTTCCCCAAACCTTTTGTCCTTTAACAGTGGTAGATGGAATCTGTGGATGAGAGTGAATGGATTGTAAAAGGATCATAGTGACCAGGGCGTAGGTGACATTTTGCCTAATGGTCAGGGCGGAAGGAAGGCTTAAGGGTTGAAACAGAGCCAGGCCTAATGGCCAAGGTAGGAGCCAACTTATCAAGTCCAGGAAGCAAGCTGGAGCCAAGTACCAGAAACCAGGAGTCAGGTATTGGAGTCAGAGTATCAGCCGGAGTATGGGCAGCAACCAGAAGCAGGGACGAACAACCAGGAGCAGGAAACCAGGAGCGGAAGCAGGGACAAGGAGCAGGCCTGGGGAGGGGAGGGTCCAGACTGAGGGCTAGGAGCAAGAAGGAAGTTAAGAATAGGAAGCAGGACCAGAAACACAGCTGTAGACTTGGAACACTATTGAGTAGCCAGAGTCCCAGGCCTGCTACAGGTGCCTGTTGGAGTCTTCAGCTAATCAGGTGCCAGCTTCATTAGCTGAGGGCAATGAGCCAAGTCTGGGTTCAGCTGAGGGTCCCTGACAAGGAGATGAAAAGCTTATACATTTCAGCAACTGTGATAATCGCAGAGTAAAGGTGTGTTAATGACGCATATTAGGGCATTACTGAAAGAGGGCAGAGTTAAGGTTGCATGGGCAACCTGAATAGTGTATTTCCTGGTTTTCGGAAGTTTGAGTTTTACTCAGCTCAGTGTTCTGCAAGGGGTCAACATACCACCAAGCAACCTTAAGTCTGTTAAAAAACATTTTTTTGCCACTGAAAACTGCGTTAACATAACCATCCAAGCAACCAAAAATAATTGGCTGACTAAGATATGCTGCTCATTAACGAAAGATTGAATAAAATTGTACTGGAAACCTTTGGAGTATTCAGCGTGTTCAGGGAAGCACATAGTTGTATATTGGAGATGATCCTTAATGTATAGGTTTTAGTATATATTAGTGATAGAAACAGATGCCCTGATTTCTGTTCTCCCAGGGATTACAGCACAGTAATACTGGCGTATACGAGACCTTGAAATACTGTAGATGTACTTTTCTATAAATCTCAATCTATTTAATGAAATATACATGTATTTTAAAGAAATCTTACTTGCTATCTGAAAAATAAACTGTGTGTTGTTACTAAAACAAATACCAAACCAGTAATTTAACATAATTGGTGACATAAAAAAACAACAACATTGTTCTTAATTATTCACGTTAGTTATCAATTCAATCTCACAGGAGAATACGGATCATTAGGAAAGGAAAGGAAACCATACCCAGCTCTGTAATGTAAAATACACAGCACTAATTACCTTATTTTAAACAAAGAATTAGGTTTTACTTTGGTTTTTGAACAAAATCAAGCATGATTAAAACTATCAGACTCTAGAACCGATTCACTAGTATATCCAGTTACTTTGAGCCACAAAAACCCAATTTAACTGGCCCTCTGGGGAGTCTCCCTGGGCAAAAAAGTTATTGGGAGGTATAGAGAGGTCATACAGGCTACTATACCATCCTCTTAGTTGAACTACACACATGTATCAATTTAAGCCTGTGCATAAATCTCACCAAGCCTCATGGCCCCAGTGTAGTAACTGGATCCTTGGGCAGAGGTTAGTGGCCCTTTCCACATCGCTCTGTAGAGGTAGATAGAACCCTTACCCTATCACATGAATTTTTATAACCCTGGCCCACATCTAGTGACTGGGATCATGAAAAAATAAGTCTTTCCTGAAATCTTGTGCAAAGAGCTGGCCTGAGAATTGTGCAGAGGCTTAATAAAATAAATCTTTGGCAAGCACTCCCTGGTTGGATGGCTCACTTTGAAAGAGAGAGAGAGAGAGAGAGAGTGTACATGAGTTGGGGATGGAAATGTGTAGGTGCCTCCTCTCTTAGGATCTTGCTGCAGAAGTGGAGAGTGGGTACTTGTGCTAGGGAGTCCAGACTAGCACTTAGAAAAGTTTGCAAGAGATAATTGTCTGGAAGCTGAGGTTCTGAGGGTTTCTAGATTCCCCAGCAGCTGGAGGGCTTTGTGTACATTGTAATAAGTTTTCAGGACTTACATACCCCAATATTAACTACTTAATTATCACGAGACCCCTTTGAAGTAGGTATTATCCCAGTTTCACAGATGCAGAAACTAAGGCTAAGAACAAAATTATCAAACCTGATTGTATAAAGTTGGAGGGTGTTCTTGTTTACAGTTTCAGCCAAGAATGTCTGAACAGGCTTGGAGATTAAGTTACCTTCTAATCCCAAAAGGTCGTCCCTCCAGAGCACAGACACATTGACCAAATCCTTGACTTGCCAGTTATTCTGTGGCTATTTCAGTCTCTAGGGTTGTTAAACCAGAACGTTTCCTGAGTACGTGCGCGCGCTCACACACAAACTTTTCTAAAATTTGGAAAGAAAAATGTTTTAAGAAAAGGTGCAGCTGTGGGACCCTCTGCTGAAGACAGACACACACTTAGGCGATATTTTAAAGAGGCTGATAGCTCATTTAGAAGCAGCAGAACTTCAAAAAAAAAAAGTAGTATAGAAAGAAAAATACAGAACTTTGCAGTTGCCAACAGCTAAGAATGATTTTGTATGAATGAGACAAAGTGGTAATATCTTTTATTGGACCAATTTCTGTTGGTGAGGGACACAAGCCTTTGAGCTTCACAGAGCTCCTCCTCAGACTGAATGAGGCTTTGAACAGATTACAGGGAAGGATTATTTACAAAAAGTCTCCTCCCAGATTTACATTAGACAGATTTTAGGCTTTATGAATCAATCTTTTGACTGACTGAAGAGAATGGGATTGTGATGTCCTGCAACTACAACAGCATGAAACCTTTTGTGAGGACTAGAAATCTGAGTCTCTCTCATTCCAGTCATATCTTGTTACATTTCATAAGGAAATGGTGAAGAGAGACTGGTTGGAGGTATTAGCAAATAGAAATTTGGATTGATATTTCCCACTCATATACTATCATAGGGTTACATTCTGCAGCTACTCCATACATCAGAGGCCCACAAGAGAGAAAAGAGAAAAATGTATAATTGGGCACTTTCACAGCCATGCATTTTTGATAGCTGTATTACTCACAAGTTATGAGATCACAAATGACTTATGCAGGTCAAATTAAACAAGTGTTGTTAAAACCTTTATTAGCCTTCTCCCTCCCCATATATACACTCCATGTGCCACGTTACAGAAGAACTAGATTAAAATGCTCTTGAATATTCCTAAACACTTACTGAGACTTTCTCCAGGCTCCTTTAGTTACCCAGTCATATGCCCATTGGAGGCAGAGTTTTGGCGTGGCCTTCAATGGCACCAGGCCTATACCTTGATTTACTAGGAGTCCTAGGATACAGAGGGAGATGAAAGTTATGGCTTAAAAAACAACCCTTTAAATATTACCTAAAGTACTTTTTCCTTATAAAAAATGTCAGATTATAAAATCAGTTATTTTGAGTCCCTGCAGGGCTAGCATCAAGTGCTATCCATCCTACTGAGAATATCCTTTCCAGAAGAATAAAACTCCTATAACTCAGCCTCCTGTGCCATGAGATATCAGACATCTGTAACTGATGTAGGACTGAATATTGCCCATTGGAAATATTGATCAGGCAGGCTGATTTTTAAGACAGTAACAATTTAAAAATGCTCACAAGTTTAAAATGTTAAAATAAATCCACAAGAGATGGATTAGTAGAGTGCAGGAAAAGTTGTCAAAGGTATATGATGAAGTCTGTATCACCTACCTCTGCAATTTATCATGCAAATAGTCTCCATACAGTATACATGGAGTATATGATCTATATAATAATCTGTATTTTAAGAAACAGCTAATGAAATAACTTATTGCAACAAAAGCATAATTTTATTTAGGGTGAAAATAGCTCATCTACTTCTCTCAGAAATAGTCAATGAGAGTCCCACAGATGCATCCAAGGACAGAATTTGAAGTGTGATGGGGAAAATGGGCTGAAAACCACCTGAGTAAATATCACTAGACTTATTGTTCCTTTACATATAGGATAATCAGCTGAGTATGAGAAAAGAAAATCTGTTTGATACAAGCAGTAAACAGGGCATTCTGTTTACACTCAAAATGCTTGACTTTAAATGGCAAAATTAAATGTTTCACAAACATCAAACAGTGCATATATGAAATACTGAAAGGTTAAAGAGAACTATTCTTTTTGCCCATGACTATATTTCATTAAATAAGACAGCTTTGAGGGACATCAGAACTCTTGTATTTTTTTTAAACCAGTATTTATTGGATTGAACAATATTCCCAGACTATAGGGTAATTTTCAGGAGGATGTGTATGTACTAAGGCATAAAAAGAAGTCTAGAAACTATACATACAATACTTACTATTTTCAACAAATGGCACTTTATAGCAAGAAATCTATAAGTCTAATTAAGACAGCAGAAAGAATTGGTGACACTAAGAATGCAGTGGTCTATTTGCATAAGACTGGGGTTTGGAAAAGGCAAAGTGCCCTTACTGGTTAGAGAGCACACAATTGAATTGAGAATGGGTACTCCAGCACAGCAACTCATTACAGTCTATAATCTTGATTATAGTCTAATAGGGAACAAATATTTAATAGTGGGCTCTTCAATGTAGCAGAGAAAAGTATGAAATGATCCAATGGCTGAAAGTTGAATCTAGACAAATTGAAACTGGAAATAAGGCATAACTTTTTAACTAATTAACCACTGGAACAATGTTGTGGTAGATCCTCTCCATCACTGACATTTTTGAAATTAACATTGGATGTTTTCCTAAAGGATATGCTCGAGGAATTATTTTGGGGAAGAAGTTCTATGGCCTGTGTTATACAAGAGGTCAGACTTGATGATCACAATGGTCCCTTCTGGCTTTGGAAGATATAAATCTACTAATGGAGAGGGAGCCTAAAATAATCAGAAAATCCTGACTTCCAGTATTGCTCTATTGTGTACACATCAAAATACTGAGGAATAAAACTAACCTTATATCACTTTGAAAACATTTTCTTCATATGGTTAGGAAGAAATGACAAGTATTTCCCGCCTCATAAAGCAGAGTTAGCCACTAAAAAAATATTAAGAGGAATGCATATGAGAGTCAAATCATGCCTTCTGCAGCATGCGTTAGGGTTACTCATATCCCTGTAGCATTCTTGCAAAAGCAGCAAGTACCTCCTAGGAGGCACTGAGGGCCATATTATTAAAGATCCCTCAGGTGCCTAAAAATGCAGATAGGAGCCTAAATACCTTTAAAAATCTGGCCCTCGGATACTAAGGTGACAGAGGCTGGGTAGAACCTTGACAGTGAGACAGAACAGCCAGAATGAGGCCTTTTATGCAAGGGGAAGCTTGACTGAAATAACACAAGAGAGGATAGATTTAGGAATGGGTGCATGGCCATTCTCCTTCCCCTGCATACACAATGGGCTGCAGCTGGAGGACTATGCTGAACAGTGTGGTCCTTCCCACATGCATCTCAAAGAAATATGCATGCTCCTACTCTCCACAAGGCTGTAAACCCCTAGGGTATGTCTACACTACGAGAGTAGTTCGAATTTACTTAAATCGAATTTGTGGAACCAATATTACAAAGTCGAACGTGTGTATCCACACTAAGAACAGTAATTCAACTTTGAGTCCACACTAACGGGGCAAGCGTCGACACTGGAAGCGGTGCACTGTGGGCAGCTATCCCACAGTTCCTGCAGTCCCCGCTGCCCATTGGAATTCTGGGTCGAGCCCCCAATGCCTGCTGGGGCAAAAAATGTGTCGAGGGTGGTTTTGAGTAACTGTCATCATCCAACCGTCACTCCTGCCCTTCCTCCCTGAAAGCGCCGACGGGAAATCAGTTCGCGCACTTTTCTGGTGAGTGACAGCGCGGACGCCACAGCACTGTGAGCATGGAGCCCGCTGCGACCATCGCTGCAGTTATGGCCGTTGTCAACACCTCGCACCTTATCATACACCTTTTCCAGAGGCAGATGCTAAGAAATCGGGCGAGGAGGCTACAGGCGGCACGGTGAGGACAAAAGTCTGAGAGGGGCACAGACCTCTCACAAAGCACTGGACCCCGTGCTGTGAACATCATGGTGGCAATGGGTCATGTTGATGCTGTGGAATGGCGATTCTGGGCCCGGGAAACAAGCACGGACTGGTGGGACCGCATAGTGCTGCAGGTCTGGGATGAATCACAGTGGCTGCGAAACTTTCGGATGTGGAAGGGAACTTTCCTGGAACTTTGTGAGTTGCTGTCCCCTGCCCTGAAGCGCAAGGACACCCGGATGCGAGCAGCCCTGACTGTCCAGAAGCGAGTGGGCATAGCCCTCTGGAAGCTTGCAACGCCAGACAGCTACCGGTTAGTCGCGAACCACTTTGGCGTGGGCTAATCTACCGTGGGGGTTGCTGTGATGCAAGTAGCCAATGCAATCGTTGAGCTACTGCTATCAAAGGTAGTGACCCTTGGAAACGTGCAGGTCATCATAGATGGCTTCGCCGCGATGGGATTCCCAAACTGCTGTGGGGCCATAGATGGAACTCACATCCCTATCCTGGGACCGGACCACCAGGCCAGCCAGTACATTAACTGTTTTACAAACATCAACGTCGGATGGCCGGGCAAGGTTCATGGCGCTCGTGTTTTCAGGAACTCTGGTCTGTTTAGACGGCTGCAGGAAGGTATTTACTTCCCGGACCACAAAATAACTGTTGGGGATGTGGAGATGCCTATAGTGATCCTCGGGGACCCAGCCTTCCCGCTAATGCCCTGGCTCATGAAGCCCTATACAGGCACCCTGGACACTGAAAAAGAATTCAACTACCAGCTGAGCAAGTGCAGAATGGTGGTGGAGTGTGCTTTTGGACGTCTCAAGGGGAGATGGAGAAGCTTACTGACTCTCTCTGATCTCAGCGAAACCAATATCCCCGTTGTTATTGCAGTTTGCTGTGTGCTCCACAATCTCTGTGAGAGCAAGGGGGAGACCTTTATGGCGGGGTGAGTGAGGCAAATAGCCTGGCTGCTGATTACACCCAGCCAGACAGCCGTGCGATTAGAAGAGCCCAGCAGGACACGCTGTGCATCCGGGAGGCTCTGAAAGCTAGGTTCCTCAGTGAGCAGGGTAACCTGTGACTATTAAGTTTGTTTAAAGAGAAGCTGAACCTGCCTCCGTTTCTTTACCCAGTTAATGTTGACTATCCTTTCCAATTACATACTCCGTTCACCCCATTCCCCCCCTTCCAACACACGTTTAAAAATAAAATAAATGGAACTTTGTTAATGAACACCGTTTTCTTTATTACTTTTTGGGACTCTGTGTGTGGGGGCTATGTGACTTTGTGGCAGGGGAGCACGGTTACAGATCCCCTGCTGCATGGCTCTGTGATCCAGGCTAAGGACCGCTGCATAAGATCTCTAACCGCCCTCCCCCGCCACAAAGTCACATAGCCCCCACACACAGAGTCCCAAAAAGTAATAAAGAAAACGGTGTTCATTAACAAAGTTCCATTTATTTTATTTTTAAACGTGTGTTGGAAGGGGGGGAAT